TTCAGACTCGCTCTGAATGGATGGGATTCTAGTGATCAACCTGCCACTGTGGAAATAAAGTTGGATATAACCCTTTCACCCCAAGAACGTTCTACTGTCACTCCTTTGGTCACACTGCATCCATAGTGAACTTGCCTGGGGCTGAAACCCATTGGCAAGACAATTGGCAGTGTCGCCAGGGTTCACTGGTGACCAAGGAAAGAGAACAGGCTGCCCTCGTGGGAGGAGTGTGTCAGCGGGCTGCCCGTATGGACGGGAGACACTGGAGTGTCCCCCTGTGGACATGGTGTGCTGGGAAGGGGTGGAGGACTGGGGTCCGCCCCAAGAGAGCGCAGGCCGCCAAGTGCCGCGGGGCAGGTGGAGGATGAAGGGCAGCCGTCAGCCCCGGGGGATGGAGGAGCGCAGGTCTGACCAACAGGTGGGGGTGGAGGCCCTGCCGGTGCTGGAGGCATTGGCCCCTCCTTGGGGGACACCCCACCTGGTGGAAAGCAGGTGGAAAGCCAGAAGGACTCGGGGACCGCGGGTCCCCCAGGAGAGGTGTGGCTTCCTCCCCAGGCCGTGGACCGCCCCACGCTCTGCTTCTGTCCTCAGGCACAAAAGGAAGTACGGTCTGCTTCTCGGAGGGAGAATGTAAAGGGCCCCGTGAAGGTCGCAAGGACCCAGGAGTGGGTTGGTGTGAAATGGCAGGAGCAGGCGGAAAGAAAGTGGACTGGAGCTGTGGCAACTGCGACCGGAGCAGCGGTTCCGGCCACTGAGGACAAAGCAGAGGCAGAGACAAAGCCACAGGACCGGCCTGTGCGTCCGCAGGACCTTCCGCTGGAGAGGCTGGAGAAGGTGGGTGTTGTCAGGCCCACCCGTGGTCCCTTTGGTTAACTCATCTGAGTAGAACTGGTTCGACTACAGCCAGGATGACCGCTTGGTGGCAATGGATCTCCTCAGGCTTGAGGGTTATTATAATTTGTTGTAACTGTTATTATTTGTATGTTGTTGTAGATTATGGAATTTGGTTACAATGTCCCAGCCTCCTTGCACAGGGACCATTGCAGAGGATTGAGGGCACACAGACAGAGAGGCGAGAACCCTGGAGGGGTGGGGTGTGGATAAAGTGAAGTTTCCTGTGGCCGGAATTCTCACCTGGCCCTGGTCGGCTTGCTCACTGCACACCTGGGGGCAATACATTGTTATTGACTCTATAAAGAGCTCCACCCAGTGGTCTGGGCAACACAGTGGCATGGCTGCAAGGCTATAGGAGAGCAGAGGCTGGAGTGGTGGCAGCACCAAGGACATGGTGCCATGGGGCAGGTGAGGCCCAGAGGACGGCCCTGTGGTAGTCGTGGCAGAGATGCAGAGACTGGCTTGCTGCCTGCAGAATCGCTCTGAGTGGACGGGATTCTAGTGACTGACCTGCCACCATGGGAATAAAGCTGGGTATAACCCTTTCACCCCAAGAACGTTCTACCATCATTTCCTTGGTCACACGGACTCCATAGTGAACTCACCCGGGCTGAGACCCCCTGGCAGGGCAGCACTGCCTCTCCAGGGCAGCTGCTCCTCAGGGGAGCACATTCAGGGGGGACTAGGGGCTGAGCTGGCTGCGCCCAGAGGGGTGAGCATGGCCTCCCCCGGAGGGGCGGCTCCTCTGCGGGCTGACCTCCCTGAGAAGGCCGTTGGCTGCCACCACCGTGCCGTGGGCCGCAGTGGGCAGCCGGGAGTGCATGCTGGGGGCATGGGTTTGTCTCTGCTCCCCGGTGCTGCCTGTGGGCCTTGGGGAGGTGGCCTGGCCTTGTTGGATGTGTTTCTCCCTCCTCCCATCAGACTGGACGGCAGCTGGGGGTTCTAGGCAGTTCACAGCACAGATCTGTAGGCAGCAAGTGCTGGTCGCTGCTCCCTCCCATGGAGGCTGATTAACGGCTCAGCACAGGCTCCGTTGGCCTCCGTCCCTGCATGTTGAGGACGTCCCATGTGTCCCACACGTGACCCAGGGACTGGCCAGCCATCCTGCAGTGAGGAGCACGGGGGTTGATTAAAACTTGCCCCAAGTCCTGTTTACAGTGACGCCGATGTGGCTCAGGGTGGCCTTGCCTGGGTTCCCACGGGCCCCTGGGTGGTGGGAAGGCAGATTCACCTTGTGGAGGAGGGAGGAGAAAGGAGGGCAGTGCTGCCAGGTGGAAGGGGAGAGCCCTGGACATGGCTGGGGAGCCCTTCCTTCCCGTCCCCAGGACCTGCCTCCTAGCAGCTGCCTGCCAGCCTGTTGCCTGCAGTGGGCTGAGCCCAGCCCTGAGCCCTCCTCCCTCCCCCCGCCACCCAACTGCGCAGCTCCAGCCCAGGGGCACTTCCCGGGGCAGCTGGGGAGTTGCTGGAGAGGGTAGGGCATGCCCCCCAAACTCGTGTCCAGGAGCCTCAGGGCACGACCTTCCTTGTAAATGCCCCCTTCACAGAGGTGATCAGCTAAGGATCCTGGGTGAAATCATCTTCGGTTTAGGTGGGTCGTAATCCAATGACTAGTGACTTAGAAGGAGGAGAGACAAGGACACCGAGGGGTGGAGACTGGAGGGATGTGGCCACAAGCCACAGACACAAGAAGCCCCCAGAAGCCGGGGGAGGCAGGAAGGGCCTCCCTAGCCCCCAGAGGGAGCATGAGTTTTGGACTTCTGGCCTCGAACAGTGAGAGGATACATCGCTGTGTGTCGAGGCACCCAGTCAGTGGTGATGTGTTACAGCAGACCCAGGAAACGATACAGGAAGGGCCCATATAGGGGGTGAAGGGGCAGATGGGAGAAGCCTGGAGCAAGGCAGGACAGGGCACCGTGGTTTTGAACGTGGGTCCCATCCAGCAGGGTGTGTCCGCAGACACAGGGCGAAGAGGCTGCCTCTACAGAGCCGAGGAGCTCGCAGGTGGAGCCCTGCTGGGGACGCAAACTGGACTTGGAGACAAACACAAGCGAGGAACGAGAGCAGCACAGGCGGTACAAAGGAGCACCGAGTGTGGAGAGCCCGCTGTGGAGGATTCATGGGGAAATGTGAGCGAATATTGAAATGCAGGAGGACAAGGTGCCACCTGTGGGGCAAAGAGAGAGGCGCCAGCGTGGAGCCACCTGGCTGAGAGGATGGGTTACTGGCTTCTGATCGCATCATTTGCTAGCTGTGTGACCTCAGCAAGTACTTGACCTCTCTGTGCCTCCAAGATGTCATCCATGAAGGGATAATAGCAGCTGTCCTTTAGGCTTGTTGTGAGGAGTAAACAGCAGACACATGAAAGGAGCTTAGAACAGTTCCTGGCAGATAGAAAGCAGCGCTGTCAGATGTTCGCATCATGAGAACAGGAGAAACAAAAGTCCAAGATATAAGAGAAGAAAATTTCCCAGGCTGCAGAAAGGTTGTGCGTGACTGTCTGAAAAGTGCGCTATTGGTGGAACAGAAACACTCAAGCATGTATTTGAATTACTAAGATTAAAAACACATTTAGGTGTGTCTACAGCATGAAATACTACAAAGCTGTAAAAATAAAACTATATGCGTATATTAGCTTGGAGCAACAAAATGTGTTGCTAGTGGAACAAAACAAGTTGCAGAGAAAATGCAGAGTGTGACTCATGTAAGAATCTTGGTCCTGCATCTCCCGCTGAGCAAGCACGGGGAGGGGGGAGGGAGGGCTCTGAGACAAGATGCTTATGACGGCAGAGCCAGGGGCTGCGGGCATGGCCCTCCCTCCTACAGTGCTCTGGGGCCCAGAGTCACCTCATTTGATACTCCTCGCCGCCTGGGAGGTGGGTAGGAGGGAGGCAAGTCTTATTGATCTGCTCATTTTCAGAGGAGGTTGAGTGAGTTCCCCAAGCGCTCAGTGCTGGCTTAAGTCCCTTCTCTGTCCCCTGCACCTTGTGCCAGCCTGCAAGGAGACCGAGAGCTCCCTGGGCCCATCGCCAAGCAACGCGCTGTGTCCAGGGATCAAGGCTGTCTCTGGCAATACCAGTGACTCTTAAGCTGGTTGATTACCCAGAAAAAATAAATGCCCCCATCCGATCAGATCCCATCTCTCTGTCTTTGGCAGGAAACATCTTTGGTTGCTAGGCAACTGCTGGGTGCCCGCACAGTCGGGAGGCAGGAGCCAGCCTGGCTCCTTTGCCAGATGCTAGCTTTCCACATTTCCTCTATCACCAGCCCGAGGCTCTGACATGGGTGAGTGGGTGACCGAGCACGGCGATGTCCCTGGACCTCCGCCAAGTGTGCAGAGGCTGCAGATTGGGTTAATGCTCCTCTCACACCATGAAAACCCGACTCCTGTCCCCCCCACAGCTCCTCCGTCAGCGGCCCTCAGGGGAGGCGTGCTCCCGGAATCGTGCATCCCTTCCTGACCTTCCCTCATCACTCTGCTGTCCTTTGTATCCTGTGTAGTGCTATGACTTGCTGACTGAAAGATGGCCTCGCAAGACAAGGGAGCAGGGGTCAGAGAGGTGCAGCTCATCAAAGCCTGTTACCAACAGTTTTCTTTTTCTTACTACAAGAACCTTTTGTATTCTTGTGTGTGTGTGTGCACCTGCCTGTAATGGTGTAGTGTCATCTGTGTGCCTATGTGTGTGCATGTGAGTGTGTGCGTGTGCACATCAATGTACTGGGGGTGTGCTTGCAGAGCCTGGCTATGTAAGCAGATCAAGGAGAAGTAGGGCTGGCTGAACCTCAGAGGGGCTCCTGGGCCACCTGCCCCAGCTCCTGCTCCCTCCCTTGGCCTCTGAAGTTTGTCTGGGACACAGTTTGGGACCATCTCATTTCACAGATGAGGAAACTGGCCCCAAACAGGGAAGCGGAGTGTCCTCGTGCTCACTGGAGACATGCTAGGCAGGGGCTCAGGAGGCCATTGTGTCCTGGAGGGCCCTTTCTGCGAGCAAGAGCCCACTCTGATATGGGCCACTTCTCCCAGGCACCAGGCCGTGTCCCCTTCTGGGAAGGGAGTAGTGTGTGCTTCTGTGTGGAGAGCTAAGGCTCCTGTCCCTCCCTCTTGGCAGGCTTGGGGGAGACACCAGGAGAGGTGGTCTGGCATGAGACGGAAATCAGGAGCCGTGAGATCAAGCTGAGCAGACTTTCGCCTACAGTGGTAAGAAGCGTCCTTTGCTCTGCTCCTTCATCTCAGGGTCAGAAGGAACTCAGTGTGTGTGCAACAGAATTTGGAAGCTCGGTGCGATGTCCCGGCAACATGCCCCAGTGCTTTCCCACCTGCTGCACCCCTGCCTGGAGCACCTTCCTCTGTCCCACCTGGGGAGCTCCCTTGTGCCCTCTGACACCTGACCCAGTCGCCCCCATCGGTGTGGTGTGGCCAAGCCTCTGTATCTTTCTCGGCTTCCTTGGGCCACTGCAGGTCACAGGCCACATGGTACGCCTCGGTCTCCTAGCACTTCTTGAGTGACCTACTGCTCTGTGACTAGTCTCTGTGTGTGTATATAGTTGCTTGCAGAATCTGGGGTGCAGAAGGACTGGTGGTTGCTTCTGCACACTACAGACAATTTTGAGACCTCAGCAAGTCACTCCGTGTCTTCGCCTCAGCTTTCCCAAGTGCAAAATGTGATTGCCCCTCTCGGGGTGTCATGACCCCAGCAGGCACCCAGTAAACACGAGGTGTTAGCTCATTAATTTGATGGTTCTTGAAATGATTGCAAAGTGTGGCACAGACAGGTGACCTGATTTGCTCAGAGTCACAATCAAAGTTGTGTTTTTTGACGTTATGGTTTTGAAATATGTTCTCTAAATTCTCCAGCACTTCTACACGGGGAGGCGGAGTCTAGGTTCCCTCCCCTTGAATCTTAACCCTGTGGCTGCTCAGCCAATAACCTAGAGTGAATGCTACGATTGTTCTGGGCCCAGGTTGTGGAAAACAGCAACTTCCCATTTTGTTTCTTGGGGCTGTCACTCCGGAAGCCACCTGCCATGTTGTGAGGAAGCCCAGCCTTCCATGGAGAGAGCCGGGCCCAGCCCTGCACCCACCAGCGGATGCAGCACCCCCTCACGGCAGCTCTGTGATGGAGTTGTTCTGGGTGGGGGTCCTCCAGCCCCTGGTCAAGCATCTGGGGTGGGTGCTGCGCAGCAGTGATTGCCACACACCAACGTCACGTGAGAACAACAGACGTGCCAGATAGGCGACCCAGCCTCAGTGCCCCCATCCCTCTTATTTGCCTGCTATCCCCAGAGGAAATGTGTCTTCAGGGAACCAGTCCCTCTAAGGTGCTGACGGCCACCATCAGCTCAGCCAGGCAGCCGGCGCTCGGAGCCACCCTGTCCACCACTGGTCAGATGTCCCGGCCAAGCCCTGGGCAGCTGACGTCCCTGGCCAGCGTGTCATGACCCTGAGCAAAGCCCTGAGCCTGCTGGGCCGGGGACCCCCAAAAGTATCAGAGCAGGGCAGACCCCTCATCTCAGTGCACTGCACCCCTCAACGGGCCCTGCCGGTCAGCTGCAGCCACGCCTCGGCCCCCAGCTAGGGCAGCCGGCCCTGTGGGCTCCAGTCACGGTCCCTCCACCCAGTGCTGATTTTGGTGGCACTGGGTTCAGGCAGCTTGTGTCTGCATCCATGTCTGGCCGACAGCTCAGGAGGTAGGGTCCTGGACGTCCGAGGGACCCTCAGGGCCAGTGCCTCCTCTGAGAACAGGGGCAGACCAGTTTCTCTTGGGAAACCAGCCCGGAATGTGGAAAACATACACGCGTGCACCCTGAAGGACAGGCTGACCGAGTGACGGCAGTCTGGCACCCAGCTGGCTCCCCTGCCCTGGTCTCTTTCCACCAAATGCCCTCCTTCCCTGCCTGGAGTGACCCTCCTGGGCCCCTAACCCTGGGCTCTGGCCAAGATCAAGCAGGACCTCTCCTCGCAAGCCACAGCTTCTGGCCTGTTAGCCCTGCAGGCTGCGTTGGGACATGAGGACGTCAGGACAGGCCTGCAGGGGCAAGGGAAATGGCCTGCCCACACCTCGCTGTGTCCCTCTGACCCCGGCTGAGCTGGCGCAGCCCCTTTTGTTTGGAATGATGTATTCTTATTAAGAGTGGGACACAGCAGCAGGTGAGACAATAGGTGAGGACAAGCAAGAGTGGGTGCTGGAAGGCCCAGGACAGGGCTGCTGGGCCACAGGCCAAGCGGCTTGCCCGGGCTGCACTGGTCATAGGATGCAGAATTTGTGTGCAGCCGGCCACCCCTAGCAGAGGAGTGGTGTGCTCCTGGCCAGCGGGACCCCCGTGCAGTTGGGAAGCAGGGTGGCACCGCAGCGCAGCATCACGGCGGCCAGCTCACGTCGATCAGTAGGTAGGAAAACCGACCGCAGCAGCGAGGGGGCCCTTGTGCCAGGTCACCCAGCAGCAGGGGCTGCGCCTGGCTAGCTCCTGGGTGTCCTGAGTTCCACGTGGGCCCCACACAGGAAGATCCCGGCTCCGCATCTGGCTGCTCAGCGCCTGTTTGCTCACAGAAAACTGTCGAGTAAGCAGTTACTGAGTTGTAATTAACTTTTCCTGGAGTAATTAAAAACTTGAACTATCCCAAATGGTTGCAATTTCCTCATCTGGGGTTTGCGCTCAGGGTCGAGAGCGGCTGCAGGAAGGATTTCCCGGCAAGAGCCTGCAGCGAGCAGGCCGGTCTATTCAGCCAGGCCAATTCCACACGCTGCCCGGCCCATGGCCGTCCCTGGAATCCCCGTCCCAAGACCAGGTGGCTCTCTTCTTCCTGCTCCTGCAGGCTTGAAGTGTGACCCCAAGTGGCACTGTGGGGATTTCCTGAAAGGCCCAGAGAGGAGACCTCTCCTTCAGCCAGAGCGGAGCCCAGGCCCCCGGCCCACTGACAGGTAGCCTCCCCTTGATGACTTGACATTGAACCCATAGGGCTCTGGAGGGTGGCTGGGATTCTTTCCAAAGTCCCACAGATTTCTTTGCATAATAGGGGTCCCTTAACACTCATGTGTAAGGTCCCTGGTTCAGGAACACGTGTCCTGAGCCCCTGTGTGTGTGGTTCTGAGGGAACGTGGTACCACAGGTCAGGCGTGTGAGCACCTGGCTGGCAGGTGTGCCCCCAGTGCTTTATGTGGACCCTCTCCGGGTAGCCACACAGATGGGAAAAATGGGCACAGAAGATTCGGTTAAATAAGCTATGGCTCCCAACCTTGACTCATTTAGTTGAGGCAGGAAGGGAAGGTGCCCACATCAGATGTTAAAATATAGGAGCAGTGATAACGGTTGACACAGTTTTCAAGCTGCCTGGGCCTCAGGACAAGGCTGTGAGGAAGCCTCGCAAGCCGGGGATGCCCCCGCCCTGTCCTTGACCATGGGGAGTTGCCTACTTTTTCACCTTCAAGTGTAGATTTTTAGTCCACCAAATTTCAGCCCTTCTTAATATAAGAATTTTAGGGTTATAAATTTTCCTAAAATGTTAACTTAAGCTGCATCCAGAAGTTTTGGTATGAAGCCTTTTCATAATATTTCAGTTCTAAGCATTTTTTAATTTTAAAAAATTTGATTCCTGAGGTAATTACTCAGAAATGTGAATTTTATCTTCCAAAAGTACATTATTTGTGGATCAATTTCTAACCAGTTAAGCTATTAATAATCAAATAAGGTATTAATTACTGTCAGAGAAAGTGGACTGTTGGGAACTGATTTTTAAGAGTTTTTTACATCAGATCTAGTAACTTTTGGCTCTCATAAATGCTGCGTATGAGAAGAATACATCTTTCCTGATTGGTGGGTGCAAGGAGAACAGCTTATTGTATTATTCAGATTTTCCACATTTTTTAATAGTCTTGTGTTTGACTTTTCAATACTGAGAGAGATGTGCTAAAATGTCCTACTGTGGGGGTGGATTTATCATTTTTTAATTGGACTTTGTCAGTATTATATATTTTAAAGTCATAGTAGGGCCATTTTGTTTAGAAATTTTATGTCTTCCTGGTTTTGACCATTGTTCACCAGTGACCCATTCTATTCTCTGAATATTTTGGCCTTCAGATCTGTATTTCTCTCTCTATATAGCTAATATTCGTCTGATAGATCTCTTTTACAACTTTTTATTTCCATGCACTTTCTATATTTTTAGAAAGCATACAACTGGATTAAAATTTTATCTGACCGATTTTTAACTTTGACTTAAAATTTTGTTAAATATTTGTCCATTTATTTATTATTTATTTTTTGGTGATTGCCAATACATTTTGAATTGTCTTTACCATCTTACTCGGGGATCTCTTTTGATATGCATGTCTTTGGTCTTTTCCTGCCTTTTTTGAATTGAGTACATATTTAGTGCCGTGTTCCGTCCTCTACGTTCTTGAATCACACAGCTACCCCCTCTGCCACCCTTCTGCGGGTTCCCCTTAGGAAATCAGCATGTGAACTGAACTCAGGACCTAGACCTGACTTAGGCACCCCCCTTCTCATGAACAACCCAAAAACCTTAGACTATTTTAAATCCAGTTATATTGCCAACAGTATTGTGATGTTGATGGTTCATTTCTTACCTTTCACCCAGTCAGGATTTGTTGTGATTTTTACGTCGGTGTTTATTTAGCTTTAACCTTCTCTCAGGGTTTCCTAGGGTGGGTGTGGCGGTGGTCTGCCCTCGCAGCTTCTGTCCTGAGATCCTGGAGCCCAGGGTCCGTGCCTCACTGTGACACGCCTCGGAGCAGGCTGCATAGGCTGGACGTCCCCCCCAGTGACCGCATCCCTGAAGGTGGCCAAGTGTTGAATGCACTAAGTGAAAGTTGCAGAAAGTGGGGGGTCCTGCTGCCCTTGAATTCTCTGCACGAGCTCAACCAGCCAACAGAGAGGCCACCAGGCCTCGGTCTCTGCCTCACCTGGACGGGGCTGCGCTGCACACAGAGACCACGATGCGGTGGCTCCACACTGCGGGAACAGCTCTCGACCGCCCAGGGTGCTCCGCCGAGCTCTGCCCTCTGATGTGTTCCCTCGGCGTCCACTGGCCTTCCCCCGGTGTCCCCTCCTCTGCCTGGTCTCTGGCTGGCTGGCTGGCTCTGGGTGCTGCTCATCCTGTGCTTGGTACCCAGCACCCAACTGAGAGACAGTGGGCTTGTGGCCCGGGTTGGGCCCCCCGCCGCCGGGCGCCCCGCACGG